ATATTTTATAAATTATGAAATTGAATAACATTAGTAAATTCTTTGTGCAGTGTTGCCTGTCTGACAATTAGACCAAAAGAGGAAGAAAGTTCTCCCTATATATTCGTTCTAAGAACATTTAAAAAAATAATTTAAAGATCTTCCACTTTATATGCACCTATATGAAGAGTCAGACATTAGACTAGGAGCTTTATGTCTCTTATTTAATTCAAAATTCTTCTTGTAGATATTTTCTAAAGCTTACAAAGTTGGATCTATATGCTGAATTTAAATAATGATATCAGTCAGAAGATAAAGCTTTTGAAAAATTAGTGCTTCATAACTATGGGTGGCCAGGTGATAGCAGTACAGCATATTATGCAAGCAATTTAATTTGATCTGTCACAAGATTTTAAATCTAGTCAACAAATGACTTATGCATGTTATCAAAAGAAATGAGTAAAAGAATTCCATTTTCTGTGAAAGGATTTGGAGATATGACCTCATTCTGTGGATCCATGCATAACAATGAATCAGCAAGCTTAATTAACAAGCAGGGTACATTTTGTACACTCCTAGTGGCGCCTTTGTAATACATGTGCCCAGAGGATTACATATAGTTTATTAATATATTGTATGTCATTTCCTCTCTTGGCCAGTGCTTTGAAATGGTAATCTAATCTGAAATATTTTTTGTGGTCTACGAAAACATTTTTCCCACTGAGTTCTAATCCCCAGTGGTTCAATCTAACCTAATAAAGTTGATTCTTTATTCATCTTCATGCTTTCTTTCTCAAGTGTATAAAATTAGGGTTTGCATATAAAATTTGGTAAAAACAATCCACTCATATTATAATGTATATAAAAGATGTAGCTAAAATACTTATAAGATAACATGTTGCTATAGCATCTTTTAAATTTATATGGAGATACTAGGGACCAAGAAGGTGCGATAACTATTTAAAATTCAGTATTCTTTCAAATCTGTCATGGAGAATAGCTACAGGAGCACTATCATATTGGCAATATTTTATAAGTGTCAATCCAGGGAAGAAAGATGAAACATTAATCTGCATGATTTACAGATAGTCAAACTATTTTCTCATGGAACTGAAACACTCTTTTTGGTAAAATTATAAATCATGTCCCTCAAAATTGCTTATGATTATAATTAGTAGCTATGCCTAAAATCAGTGCTTAATTTTTATAGTCTTATTTTGTTCAGTGTCTGATCCTCAACCTGAAAATTTTAATAACTGTTACAAAAATCAAAATATTTGTTCATTAACAAATTTAACAAATATTTATGGAGCATTAACTGTGTCCTCCTTACTATACTGAGGACTTGGAAGAGTTTTTAGTAAACAACTTCTATCCTCAGGAAACCTACATTCTAGGTGGAAAGACAGATAATAAATAATAAGTAAGTGAATTCTAATATATTTTAAAAGATGATTTGAGATATAGAAAAAAATGTAGAGCATGTAGAAAGGGTGATTTTAAATGGATTGATTTCTGCTCAGGTTGCCATGACAAAGTACGGTAAACTGAGTATCTTAAACAACAGAGGCAACAGAAGTTCATTTTCTCACAGTCTGGAGTCTAAGATGAAAGTTGTAACCCATGTGGTGTCTGGTGATGTCTTTCTTTCTGACTTACAGATGACTGGAGGCTTTCTCACTCTATCTTCACAAGGCCTTTCTTTGGTGCATGTGTGATGATAAAGAGGATGAGGGAAGTAGGGAGAGAGAAAAAGAGAGACGGAGAAGGAAGGGAAAAAAGGAAGGAAGGAAAAAAGTGGGATGGGATCTCTTTTTATTTCTACATATAAAGAGACTTCTCCTATCAGATCAAGGTCATATGGCCTCATTTAACTTTTAATTTCTTCCTATTCCTAGTGCAGCCACACTGGAAGTTAGGACTTTATCATACGAATTTTGGCAGAACACATGTATTCAACCCATAACAGGTGGTCATTGAGAATGTATATTTGAGCAAACCCTTGCTGGAAATGAAATGGCTACCCAGACAAATACAAAAGGGTTTTACCTCTCTGGGTAGAGGAAGAAGGCACTGCAAAAGCCCTTTATCATGGGAAACTTGGTGTCACTCCTCAGTAAGGAACCGGGTCTGGCCCCAGAGGAGTAAGCAAGGTAGGGATGAAAAAGAAATAGGAGAGGTAACTAAGGACCAGAGAGCTAATGAAGGTCCAAATTATGCAGGCCATTGGAAGGACTTTGTCTTTCCTCTGTCAAAACAGTGAGGAAGATTTTCAGAAAAGAGGTAATGATTTAAAAAAGAATTGGGCCAGGGATTTAGCTCAGTGGTGCCGCTGCCTGCCTTACAAGCACAAGGTCTTGAGTTCAATCCCTGGTGCAAAAAAAAG